ATGGGGTGCGATAAGAATCTCAATGTGTTCCATATCTTATGGGTCCACTCGGCTCTACAAGGTTTTAGTCAATTTCAAACTTAAGTCAACACGGGAAGGAAGACTTAAGAAAATGGGTAAAACTTAAAATGTATAGAAACATGTTGTTTGAGTTCTCATAACACAAACAAATCACTATTCAAATTCACGAAACATCAATCCTCGAGTTAACCCACGTCTAGGGCAAGCTCGGTTCACACATGATCGTATTATTCGACTTTATGGTGGATGTCGATTCCTCTATGAGACTCAAACTCAATTCAAGCGACCGTCACTCGTTTGGGACTCGAACCCACTTGAAGTATCTTTTGCTGTATAAGACTCTAGTCATAACAACAACAACAACAACAACAACAACAACAACAACAACAACAACAACAACAACAACAACAACAACAACAACAACAACAACAACAACAACATTCAATCATGTGAAACACAACAATCATGGAGAACATAAGTAAATCATTTGTTCATGGAAATTCTCATGACTAAGTAGAACACATATCATACTATGATGAACCTTACTAACTATTCTATGATTCTAACATAAACCCTAACTTCTAAAATCATAAAGGTCCTAACTAGAACCTACCTTGATGAAGAGATTATTGTGAATTTTTGAAATGAGATGATAGATCTAAGATTTTTATGTTCTTCTAAGTTTCTTCTTCTTAAGATTATTTTCTTTCTTTCCCAATTTTTTTCTCTATTACTGATAAGAAATGAATGATGCATAGAGATATGGTGATATGAGATCATGAAGTTGAAAATATGTGGACATAAATAGAGGAAGATTTGTGTGGTTAGAAAAGAATAATGGTAGTAGAAAATATCCCAAGTGATACTACACTTTATTATTTGGTCTACTATAGTAATTGATCAATTATTAATGTCATCAAAATGTCCCTTTTTATACTAATTAATAAAAGGTCGGTCACAAAGAATATTAATTAAGTCAATCTGAGTTCACTAGTTACTTTATTTGTCCTAACTGATAACTTTCAAAGCACATAGGAACTCAACTGTTAAGAATTTGAGTATTCAAGGAAATACAGGGTATTAAAGTCACACTATTAATTGTAAAAATTATTGGTCTTTGAATTCTTTTTGTCATTTTCATTTCATCTTTACAAAGCCATTGTTGATGATTCACGTGTTCTGAACTTTTCATTTTGGGCTTGGATCCTCCAGAACTTCCCACACATCTTTGGATGGGCAAGTGTACCTGATTACACTTAGGATATGTCGCAAGCTACTACTTTATCCCACTTAGAAGGAACCGGACGATTGAGCCTTACAGAGTCTATCTTAATCGTCTAGTTGGTGAGAAAATTCACTTCAACATCTCTGTTGATCACCATGAGACGCGACCATTTGGCATGATAGTAATATACTTTGGATGGTTGGCTTGTGGATCACGTCTCGCTGCTCCTCATCTTCACGAGTGCGTCGTACAAAAGTTCGACTCACTCAAACCATTGCAAAATACCCTGCTATCTCTACTCTTTCTGCCTTGACCCGTAGACAGATAGAGAACATGTTTGATGATTATGAAAGTCATCTTATACCGGAGGAGGCACATGCTACCGTAGCTGGGAGTTAATGAAGCTACGTCGAAAGGTACATCAGATGGTTCTTCAGGGTGTCACATCCGTACATGGTGCATTCTGCTCAAGGAGATCCGTCGAGACTTTCTTATCATGAGATACTAAAGGAGGAGCATCCACAATTAGATCATGTTGAGGATGTCTTGCCTAGGTTTCATCGCATAGTGAAGATTACGCAGGCAGACATTGACACATGTATCTTCTCATATGGGCTAATATGAAGCATGTCCTAGATGCCATCATGACGGAGACACATGGGGCATTGTTGTACCGGAGACATCGCCGGAGGACAAGGGGGAATGTTGGTCGATGAGGTAGACGAGGCAGAGGTGGCAGAAGAGGTAGAGGAGAGGTCATTAGACATACATAATGGTGTCTTATTATATAGTAGTAGCACTATGGTCTGTATTTTATTTTAACGGTCTTGCTATTGTATTGATCTCGATTGTATGAAATTTTTGACATTTATTGGCATTTTAATTATGTATGACATTTTTGGACCATCCAGAGCTATGTACATCTATTTTTTATTATAAACAAAATATAACAAGAAAGATCAACTTCTGAGATGTTACGGAGATGCATCTCTAATCCAATTGTTGTGTATAATGGCTTCTGAGTGGAATGCATAGTATATTTTAAATTGTTATGGAGATGCTTCTCTGAAATATTTCAACGTTCATTAAAAAATTGGTGTGTCCGCATTTAAATAATTGTGTGGTTGCTAAGAAACACTTATAATAAGGGAATTTCTTATCCTACTTTATGAGGTGGAAAAACATCATATGAAAAAATTGAAAATACCCCTCAGATTTCAGAGATGTATCTTTAGACGCACATGTTGCACACACAACTCATTTGTTTTTGAGTCACTCCCCAATTTTATGACTTAATTTATTTTAGAAATGCATTTTCGGAATATCTCTGAAAATACATTTTTGGACGCATCTCATGCACACACAACTCATTCGTCTTTGAGTCACACACCAATTTTATGACTTGGTTTATTCCCAAAATGCATTTCTGAAATGTCTTTGGAAATACATTTCTGAAACTTACAAAAACACTTAGTTGTTTGTCTCCGAAATAATTTAAGTAAATTTGTTCCTGAGTGTATGAAGCATTAGATGCGTCTGGAGATACATCTCCGAAAAATGAGAGCATTTTTGTATTTTCACGTAGTGCATTAGTAATATATAGGGTGCATTAAGAATTTCTCTATATTAATGTGGATTACTTTTGACAGCATGTGGTGCTCACTTACCATAATGAAAAATCAAGAATGTTGCTAAAATTTGAAATTTAACTTCCGGACACACTCAAAATAAAACTAAAATTAAGTCTCATACCCAGGTCAGAACATAGATGAATATATATATGTGTGTGTGTGTGTGTGTGTGTGTGTGTGTTTGTGTGTGTGTGTGTGTGTGTGTGTGTGTGTGTGTGTGTGTGTGTGTGTGTGTGTGTGTGTGTGTGTGTGTGTGTGTGTGTGTGTGTGTGTGTGTGTGTGTGTGTGTGTGTGTGTGTGTGTGTGTGTGTGTGTGTGTGTGTGTGTGTGTGTGTGTGTGTGTGTGTGTGTGTGTGTGTGTGTGTGTGTGTGTGTGTGTGTGTGTGTGTGTGTGTGTGTGTGTGTGTGTGTGTGTGTGTGTGTGTGTGTGTGTGTGTGTGTGTGTGTGTGTGTGTGTGTGTGTGTGTGTGTGTGTGTGTGTGTGTGTGTGTGTGTGTGTGTGTGTGTGTGTGTGTGTGTGTGTGTGTGTGTGTGTGTGTGTGTGTGTGTGTGTGTGTGTGTGTGTGTGTGTGTGTGTGTGTGTGTGTGTGTGTGTGTGTGTGTGTGTGTGTGTGTGTGTGTGTGTGTGTGTGTGTGTGTGTGTGTGTGTGTGTGTGTGTGTGTGTGTGTGTGTGTGTGTGTGTGTGTGTGTGTGTGTGTGTGTGTGTGTGTGTGTGTGTGTGTGTGTGTGTGTGTGTGTGTGTGTGTGTGTGTGTGTTTTTACGGAGGTTAACTTTCGCACCTGTTTGATTCATACAAATCTTCAGACTTTTTCTCTTCCTTCTTCTTGATTTCATTTCAAAAAGTTTACTCAAAATTCAAATCAGAGCTTGTGAGAAAACTTCATTCTATTTTATTCAAGGGTAGAACATCAATCAACCTCTACTCCACTCCAATCAACCGAAAATCCTTGAATTTTGAAATTCGGTAAGTTTTTAATTTCTTTATTTTTGTTTTGTGATGCATTAGTTTGAAGTTAAACGCGTAATAGGTTGTTTATGGTACATTAAGATGCATAATATGTTGTTTTAGTAAGGCATGCATATAGTTTTTCTGAAGTTTGTTGTTAGAGCATTTGGCCATGCTTTGTTTCTGCGTTTCTAGGTTGCAGGAGGATACGAAAGTTAATTTTCGATTTTTGTTATTCTACAATGCGAAAGTTAACTTCTGAATTTTGTTGTTATGCATTGTTTTTCTGATTTTGCATGTTATGTCCCAAAGTTTGACATCTTTGATTGTAATATGATTTTTCTGGTGTAATTATCAGTAAAATGTCTAATAACTCAGAGTCATCGTAAAGTGATATATATATATATATATATATATATATATATATATATATATATATATATATATATATATATATATATATATATATATATATATATATATATATATATATATATATATATATATATATATATATATATATATATATATATATATATATATATATATATATATATATATATATATATATATATATATATATATATATATATATATATATATATATATATATATATATATATATATATATATATATATATATATATATATATATATATATATATATATATATATATATATATATATATATATATATATATATATATATATATATATATATATATATATATATATATATATATATATATATATATATATATAAAACAAGGGTTGGTAATGAGTTGTACAAATTGTACGTTCCACTCGTTTTTTCCTATAAAATCATTGACTTAAGTTGTGAATGAGAGACTTTGGTTTCAACTTTACTTGATTCTAAAGAGTGTGAAGATAGTTCTTTTATTACATGAAGAAGTCAAAGTTGGTATACCAACAGGCCTAAGGACATTAATTGTCTCCTTCGTCTGAACTTTGAATCACAAGATTTATAAATAATGATGGAAAAAATAGAATTTGAACTCGCAACTTTGATTTTAACTTTAATATATTACAAATAGGTACATTAAAATAAAAATACAATAACGAAACCCAAATTGAAAATATGGTAAAAAGAATTAAAAAAAAAAGTTATACTTTAGCAACTTTATAACTTCAAATTCTACCCTATTTGATTGAACTTAAGCAGAGTCTCCTTCCATTGGTGGAATAGCAAGGTGTCCTTTCTCTTGTAGACTCCTAACTGTGTCATATAGACATTGCTTCACAGGAGTGAATTCCAATCCCAAATCTTTCAATTTTTTATTAGAATATATGTATGGTTTCACTCTTGGATTCTTTTCATCTGAACATCTGCAAAATTTAAATAATATATTTATTTCCAAAAATTCTTCATAAAATAAAAATCAGATATCCTCTGTACGCAACTGCAGAATCTTACTTGGTAGGAAGTGGATACTCAGGAAAATACTTGGCCAAAATTTCAACGACTTCGCCACGATGCAAAGAAGTTTCGGAACAAATGTATCTACCAGAAGCAGAATTTGTCTCATAAACAAGAATGTGTGCCAATGCAACATCCTTAACATCAACATAACATTGGGTTGCATTCACATAAGTTTTTGCTGAACCATTAAGATACTTGAGAATATGAATTGTACTAGCATTAATGGTTTCTTGTAGTAACGGTCCAAGAACCAAAACCGGGTTCACTACGACCAAATCAACTCCATTCTCTTTTGCTATATTCCATGCAGATTGTTCAGCCACTGTTTTCCCATAACAATACCAATTCTGAAAAATAAAAAATTTTAATATCAATATTTCTACAAATTAATATTTTTCATTTAGTTATTAAATTAGTTAAGTATTCAAATTTCAAACCTTTGTGTTCTTGCAATATTCTAAATCACTCCAATACGACTCATCAACGACAACATCTCTACTCGTATTTGGGTCCATATAAACCGTTCCAATCGACGAAGTGAACACGACGCGTCTCACTTTCGCTTCCGCGGAAGCTACTATCACATTCTTTGTTCCATTTACTGCTGGTTCCAACATCTCATCCTACAAAAAAAATGATTAATTCACCTTATAAGTTTTAATCCTTATGCCACATTAATTAAAAAAAAATCTTACCGGATTATCGGTGACCGGAGAAGCTGTGTGGAACACACCATGGCAACCATGAACAACAGATTGAATAGAATTAAGATCAAGAAGATCAACCTTATGCAAAGTTAATCTCTCTTTTGCTCCTTCCAACTCTTTCAAGTGACCATTCTTTGGATCCTCTAATCATATAAAAATCCACACTTAGAAATAACATATAGTAAATAAAACTACTAATTTTTTTTATTTAATTTAACATGCAAAAAATAGATATATAAATATACATATATACTATAATTGGTATTTAAAACCTTATACTAAAATTTTTTCCATATATAAAAAAATGATAACATGCATACCAGGGTTTCTAAGGGTTCCTCTAACAGTGTAACCTTTTTCCAAGAGAAGTTTGACAAGCCAAGAAGCTATAAACCCGCCGGCGCCGGTGACACAGACGGTTTGGCCGGCGCCGGAGAGTATTGAAGTGCTATTATCATAGGCAGGCATGATGTTTTTGGGGGTAAGAAGAAATAATTTAGGTTAGAAAAGAAAAAAATGGTGGATGAGAATCTAAAGTATGAGAGATAGATGAATCTTGCTGTTGAGTGTTGCACTTTGCATTATGGGGAATGGTTCCTTTTATAGATTTGAGAAATCCATATTTACCTAATTTTTACACGTTTTCAGTATTATATTTTTGTAGTAAAAAAACCATATTGTAGAAACTTCCTTAGACTATTTCAATATTCAATTAGTAGTATCAAAAAATAGAAAATTCAATTATTTATAGGAAACATATATTTGTAGACATGTGGAGAAATAATTTGAAGTTGACGTACGCGTAAGCGTAAACATCGATTGTCCTTTTATTTTGGGTGGGTAATATCGTACAATATTAAATTTTTGTGATGCTTTGTCCTAATTGTACAACTATGTTCTGTCAAAATAATTTTACAACAACTTATGGTTGAATATTTTATTTTATTCTTAGTTGCATATTTTAATTACATGGGTAAAATAATCACTACTAGTACGTTGGTTCCTAGCTTTTTGTTGTTGGAATAGTCGTTAGTGACGGTTGGGTTCAACTTTTATGGGAGAATTTTTCAATGCACTTTTTATATATATATATCACTAAAACACTATATAAAAATACAAAAATGTTCATTGTTTTCAGAAATATATCTACGAATATATTTTAAGTAAATATAATTCTGATTTAACATTAAAATTTTTGAAAATGCATTTTTAAAATTATTTCGGAAATGCATCTCTGAAAGATATTGAAGCTTAAATCGCGTCTGAATCATTCTCTTTTCTCATTTCTAAAAAAAACAAAATTTTCTCAAACTCTCTCAAATTTTTTTCCATCAACCAAGTCCAATATCAAACAATGAAGCTTAAAGATTCTTCGATCAATATCAAGTACATCAGACACATCATCCAACATTGAAGTAAACTCTGAATTCGTAAGTTTTTGATATTTTAAAAAGTTTTATGAGTTTTTGTGTAAATGAGTAGAAATTGATGATTAAGATAATAAACGAGTGATTACATATTGTAAAACATGTTTATTGGTTGAAAATAATGATTAAACCATTATTTTTGGGATTTTTTGGTCTGCATTGTTGTCATTGAAGGACCTGAAGAGATGTAGGAAGGAGGTGCATCACCGGAATTTCTCAACGTTTGGATTCTCATTACCCGAAGAAGCATCTCCATAAATTATCAGTCAAGTCCTTTTTTTTGCTTTTATTAATTGTATGGTTGCTTGTACCTATTATCTGGTTTACTTACATGCATTACGGCTAGTAGAGATGATAGACTGAGGCGTTGAAGGATTGCACAACATGCATCAGTGCAGAGGGAGAAGAGTCAAGTTAAAGAGGCTCATGTTTACTCTAGTCGTGCAGAGGTGTCTACTTCTGGAGCTCGTGTTTCTCCATCATCTTCTTCACGTAGAAGACGTATTTTACCTACCGACACATCACTACCTCCATCCTCTCACATGCAACAAGTTTCACCTATTTCGGCGCCAGAGGTACCCGAGTCACCGGTGGTACCTGAGGCACCAGTTCCACCTCCGACTGATGAGGCTTCTGAGGATGATGAGCCACCCCGGGCATTTGGAGGAGGACCTGTAGAGTTATCATTGTTACCACTATACCATTACCATACTGCCATACATATATGGGACGGAGAAGTAACATTAGTTGGATTCACTATTTTTAAATCACGTTTATTATTATATTACAAGTTTCTAACATTGATTTCTTTTTCTGCAGGATCGTGATCCGTTGGAGGTTATTAATCATAGACGGAAGATTACTGGTTTGCCTCATTCGAATGAGAAGTGGTTTTAGGATGCTTTTTCCCTATCTGAGATGAAGGACTTGTGCATGATCGGTTATATTACGATCAACCACGAGATGCTTATCTCCCACTTTATGAGAAGTCTTTCACACTCGACGACGTGTCATTTTATCTTCCACTTTATGAGAAGTCTTTCATACTCGACGACATGTCATTTTTATTGTATCTTCTGATCAGGGGGAACTTCTAGATCATGAGAGGATTACTAGAGATGAGGCACTCAAGATGATGATAGACTATCTGGGAGTTGACCCAAAGGATGTCATGAGGGAGTTTGAAAAAAGCAGAGGGTCACATGCTAGGTTTGAATTCCTACAAAAGGTGTATACCTTTGAGATCCTTAGAGTTGTGAAGTCTAGAGGCGATGACGAGCATGTGGGGCTCCATAGAGCGTATGCTATGAGAGCATACCTACTACATTTATTTGGAATTGTGATTTTTATGGACAAGAGTGTCATTTATACAGATGTTGTCTACCTACGGTACTTTGAAGACTTTGAGCAGATTAATGAGTACAACTAGAGGGTCACTTTTTTGGTCTACTTGTACTCAAAGTTATCAAAGGGATGTAGGTGGAAGACGAAGTAGGTAATAGGCAGCATCACACGAATGACGCTAATATTTATTGGTCTTTTAATATTTCTGTGTCGTTTTCATTGTATTTTGCAACGCTCTTACTGATGATTTATGTGGTCCACCAATTTTTAGGCTTGGATCCAACGCAGAGTATATGTCACGTGCTTCTGTATATTCCCTGCTCATAAAGAACCAAGCGATAGAGTCGTTCAGAGTGTATCTTGACCGCTTGGTTGTCGAGGATATGCACTTCAATAACTATGTCGATCACCGTGAGACACGACCATTTGACGATTTAATGTTATACTCTGGATGAGCGCGTCATGTGGCAGTTCGATTACACTCAGACTATTTCCAAACACCATATTGTCTCTGCTCTTTCTGCTATGACACGTAGGGAGATGAATGTTATGTTTGATGATTATCTTAGTCATCTGGTATCAGAGGAGGCACAGAGTACCATAGTAAATAGAAATTAGAGCTATGTCGACGGGTACATCATGTGGTTGTTCAGGATGTCACATCCGTATATGGTGCAGGATGCTCCAAGAGATTCATCGAGGCTAGCTTATTATGAGATATTAGAGGAGGAGCAGCCACAGTTAGATCATACTTATGATGTTTTTCCTAGATGTAGTCGCATAGTGAAGATTCCACATACAGACATTGTTAACTTTTGGACCATCTGGATTTATATGTCATTTTTTACATATCAATTGGAGTTGCATCTCCAGAATAATAAACGAGTAAAATACTTTTTAAAGTGAATTTCTTTGTGTATGTTTTACAATATTTTGGAGATGCATCTCCAGATCAGTTAACGTTTTGATTTAAAACAAGATGTATTCAGAGATGTATCTTCGAAAACTAAAAAGTATTTTGAATTTTTTAAAGGGTGTTTTTTCACCCATAGAGTCAGATAATAAATTTCCTTAATGTTCCAAGAACATAAGAAAGAGTAGTTTGTTTAAGTTTGCAGAAGACTAAGAACTCAATCTTGTAGACTCAATTTGGTGATTTGGTGGGTTTAAATGTGGATGACTATGAATTATAAGAGATGTGATGTGTTTTCTATTATCTTAGGATATTTGATTTGTTAGTTGTCAATATTTTTCAACAAATATTATAAGAATCTTTGTTCGACTTGTTTAAGGAGCGGATATATTATGGTGGATAGACGACTCGCTTTTTTTTTTTTTAGAGATTGTTAAATTAAGTGTAAATTACTAAATTTGATATCAATAATGAATAGAGAAAAATTTTGAATATATAACAAAAATGATTCATATACCTATTATCTTTAAGTTTTTGACAAAGTTGTAACATCTTTCTCTCCTGTGGTCTTAAATATTTAAATTGTGAGACTGTCCAACGATTTTTGTTTAAAGAAAAATGTGTTACAAAATTATTATTTTTTTTTAAGAAAAGAAAAATTAATCTACATTTTCTAAACACAAATTTTTCTAATAATGCTAACCCACTCATATATAAATTATTATCCACATTAACCAAAATTAAAAATAAAAAAAAATTAATCTACATTTTACATGTAGGTTGGTAAGTAAATAACCCATTTAGTTGGAAAAACGTAGGAAAAACTATAAAATAATTTATTTATTTTTAAATTGAAATGTGTTTTTCTAGTGTACTATGTAATATGTATGTTTATTTATAGATATATGACATCTCTGATTTTTTTTTTTTCATTTAGTTTTTGACTTTGACTTTTCTCCCCATGTCTCTCAGACTTGCATGTGTAATGTGTTTTTGCTAAACCAAAATTATTTTTATTTAAGAAACATACCATTGCTGAAGCATGAGTGTACCTTATAGACTTTTTTCAACTTTTCAATATTCTTCATTTATTGACTCCAAAAGTCAATAATTTCATTTGTTTGACCAAATCTAAGTAACTATTCATCATTGTTTGGAAAAGTATAAAGTGGGAATGGAATTGTGATATATTGATCCATTCTTTTGTCGTGGGTCGGTTGGTGAATGGAGACACACAAAATCTCACAAAATCTTGTGAAAAAGTACAATGCAAAAGCTTAAATTCAACATTTTCAACAACTCCTCAAACCTAAACAAAGGGACATGTCTTTTTTTCTTTGATTCTTTCCAAACTCCATCATTCACGTATAAATTTATAGAAAGTGATTAAAGGAAGCAACTTTTACAAATGAAGTTATTACTAAATATATTTTTATACCAAAAATAGTATATAGGTAAAGTAGACGGAGATATGAGTGTGTTTTAGAGGATCCGAACAATAAATTTAGAGATTTCGTTTAAAAAATAAAATAATTGTAATAAATAAAAATAATACATTAAAAATATGATTATATATTAATAAAAAGTAAATTTAATTATTTATTTTGACTTTTAATCAATCTTATTTTTTATATATATTGAATTTTTACCATATTATTTTATTTCAATTGAAATTTAACATGCTATTCTTAATCATTTTATTTTGTTTCAATTGAAATTAACCTGTTATTTTTTGAAGTGATTTTTATTTTTTTATTCTCCTTTCAAGAATTTATATTTTGTTT